GTCACCCCGCCCGCCCACGCACTGGCGGCGCTCTCGGCCCACCGCCCGCTCTCGGGGATGAGAGGGAGGGGAGAGGAGGAGGAGGAGGAGGAGGAAGAGGAGGAGGAGGCGGAGGAGGAGGAGGAGGAGGAGGAGGAGGAGGAGGAGGAGGAGGAGGAGGAATAATAATACTAATACCAAGACTACGAAGAATACTAGTATGACTAATGAGAATAATACGAATAGGAATGTTCAGAAGAAGACTGCCAATACTTGTAATAGTAAGACGAAGAACAGTGATACGAATACTAAGTAGACGGAACACAATAATAATAGTAAACTTGGCAACGCCACTAAGCATACGAATAATACAGACACTAAGAAGGATACTGATAGTAGTGCTAATTCGAACTTTACTGCCCAAACTGTTATTACTGCTATATTACCAATATCATACGAATGAGGTTGCGAAACGCAGTTTTAGTAATACTCGTACTAAGCATCGTACGAAGAGGACTGGGAAGAACACGCATAATAAGCACATTCGTAATACTAGTAATAGTAACACTAATAATGCGAATACTGTTAGCACTAACAGTACTATTCATAACAATAGTAGTAGTAGTAGTAGTAGTAGTAGTAGTAGTAGTAGTAGTAGTAACGATACTACTGCTAATTATAGTGTTGATACTCCCAATGACAGTCATATATTTAATTCGGTACGACTAATACGATTACTATTAATATCACCAACCTATATATACACATATATATAATAATAACATAGTAATTATACGACTTTTACTAATAACAGCAACACTACTAATTACCACTAATAATCATCTGGTAGGTCATATTATTACGACTGCTGATACTACTAACAAGTCTACCAACCATCATATTAATACTAAACATAGTGAAACTAGTAACAGTAATAACAATTCTTACACTACGATTATCACTAGTAACAATAAGATCAATACGCTCACTACTTATATTGCCAATACAAATGTCGATAGTACTAATCGTACTAATGCTACTGATATTTTTAAGATTATTGATCACATGATTATTACGAAGCTTATTAATACTTTTAGCACTAGTAATGATATGAATGCTATTCGCAAGAATAACAACATTACTAATACTGAAACTATTATTATGCAACGAATCGTAATACTTCGACGGGAAAGAAAAGGAGGAGGAGAAGGAGGAGGAGAAGGAGGAGGAGGAGGAGGGATGAGGGAGTAGGGAGGAGGGAGGAGGGAGGATGGAGGAGGGCGGAAGGAGGGAGGAGGGAGGAGGGGGGGGGAGGAGGGAGGAGGGAGGAGGGACGAGGGAGGAGGTAGGAGGGAGGAGGGAGGAGGGAGGAGGGAGGACGGAGGAGGGAGGGAGGCGGGAGGAGGGAGGCGGGAGGAGGGAGGAGGGAGGCGGGAGGAGGGAGGAGGTAGGAGGGAGGACGGAGGACGGGGGAGCGAGGACGGAGGAGGGAGCCGGGAGGCGGGTGGCGGGAGATTCTTTCCGCCTTTTCATCGCCTCCTTCGAGCAGGGAGGACATCCGCGATGTTTTGAACGCAGCCAAGGGAGTATTGGTTTAGGTATCTATGGAGGCCATGAAGGAGAATAGTCAAGGTCTTCGTAATTTTCGCAGCAATAGTCTACATTCTGGGGCCAGCTGGGCGCATCGGTTACCATCGAGAAGGATGCAGGAGGACAGGGGGTTCTTGAGCCCCCGAAGATAATTCAGGTCAAGGCGGACAGGTGGGCAAACCTATGGGGAGGAACACGAGGAGGACCTAACCAACCGGTTCCTCTTTGGCTTCGGCGCCTACGAGATGCAGCGCGGCTGCAACAGGAATAGCGACCGCATCCTGATCTCACAGTTGCAGGCCTCGAGCAGAGTGTGAGATATTTTATGGAGCACCCGGGCCTTGGTGCAGACGCGTGGAATCCTAGACAGTGGCTCTCTCTGCCCGAGCAAGGGCACCAACCGTTTCTTGTTTTGCAGCGAAGTGGAGGCCCGGATCAGTCGGCCAGCACAGGCATTCGTCAACGTCGTCGCCCTCGCCTGGAAGCCCCCGCCAGAAGGAGATCGGTCTATCATGTTGACGCCAGGGCCATATCGACTTTGGAATATTATGCGAAAGCAAGCGGTGCAGACATGGGAGCGAAGTAAAGCAGGTATTTGCGACTCAGCGGTGAAAGACAACGGCCCCCTTCCGAGCAGCAGTCTTGAGGCAGTTCAAAGCAGAAGCGTGTGGTATGTTAAATCTTAGTTGCGTTCAGCTTCTCTTGGGTGCCGATCAAATTTACGATCTCATCCAGGGGGAAACGCCATCAAACCTGGCCATCAACCTTGACTACCCTTTAGTTCCGTTTTATTTAGGCATGCTGCAGCACATGGCAGACCGCTGGATGGCGGTAGGCACTCATTTATCCGACAGCGTGCAGGTTGCGAATTCCATCATTGCGGGATGCATGTAAAGCGTAGCTTGGTCTAGAATATCTGTGGGACATGTTAGATAGCATTCATCGCGCGCCCGCCACCTCGGAATTCAATCTGCAGTTGGGTTGACGATCTCGCCCATCTGAATATCGGCGCGGCAGACGGAGTAGTTGGCCAGGCTATCGCAGTTGCTTTGAAGCTCACTGCTTTCATGTACAGCAAAGGACTTCGTATTTCCGAAAAGTCAGTTGACCTGGCCAGTTCGCCAGCAGTGCGAGTGGTGCCGAATAAGATAATTAAATGACTTGGCTTGTCGATCGGAGTGGAGTTGTCAGCCCGAGATCTCGGAGTAGACGTTGCTGCGGCGAGCAGGACTCAAGGGGACATCGAAGCTAGAATCAAGAAGGGAACCAGGAGCCACCGCAATTTGGATTCTGGGCATAGGTGTGAAGGCGGCCAAAAAGCTGGCCAACACTGACCACGAGCCGCAAGTGCCCTGGGGAGCCGTTGCCATGGGCCTCGCGCCAATCCGCTTGAGAAAGCCTCGAACCCAGGTGTCTTAGATGTGTGGAAGTAAGTGGGCGGGAGGTTGTGCGACCGCTGCCATTGGGATCAGTCTCGGAAAGCACAGTGACCCTCTTTTGGGGACCTCTCGAACTCTTGCAGGCCTGGCAGGATCACCTCCCAAGGATCCCAGAGTGGCGCGCCGCCATCGACAAGGCCTGGCAGGAGTCCCTGACCAAGCTGCGAGGCGCTGAACCGCTGGCTGCAGGTTAAGGGACGCATGGCCGCGATGCAGGCCGCTCATTTGGAGGTGAATTGTTTTCCAGACGCTCCAGGAGAATGGACCATCCCCTGCGGTGGAACACTTGAGCTTTCAGGGTAGCGAGGGCCTGGGCCAGCTGGTTTTTGATGTCGGTTCATCCCCAGGGCAAAGTATTTGGGCCCAAGCCAGCAATGATTTCTCGGGTGCGGGGTTGGAGTGCGGGGTGGACTTACGTGTGACTTGGGCCCAGCTTAAGACGCTGAGGAGGAAAGGTTTAAACCGTGACGCAGCGGTCCTCGAGATGATCAGTCAAGGGGCTTTGTGGCCAAACCAGCGTGGGCAAGACAATGTGCAGCTAGGCGCATCAGCGTGTCCCAGTTGCGGAGCACCAAGTGAAACCCTATATCACCAGCTTTCGGACTGCACCGCCGATAGGGACATTCCGGATCTAGAAGAGGACACAAGGCTTAGTGAGCAAGCTAAAGTAGGGGCCGAGACGTGCCCGTGCTTCTGGCTCCGCTGCCTCGTGCCAATTCTGTGGACGATGCCCCCTGCGGACGCCCCTCTGCCAGAAGAGTGCTCGGTGAAGGCGGGAGAGTGGCCCGGGGATGGGCGGCGATTCATTTTAACGGCAGGAATTGGTATAGGCGGTGACGGCTCGGGGGGAGAACGTGCTGAGGATCTTTGTTTGCGTCGGGTTTGTTGGTCTTTCGCCGTTTGCTGCGGTGAAACTGTCTTGGCCTCCGGGCGTGGTGCCATGGCACGCTGGAAACACACAGGTCCCCGATCCGAGCTGCTAGCAGTAATTCGAACCCTTTTAGCCACAACACGAGATGCTGAGCATGTTGTAGGTGCTTCATACGTGTGCCGAGGGGCCCGCAGAGGGCCACATAGGACATATCGTAGTAATGCTGATTTGTGTGCCCAGTATTGGCAGGATGTCTCTGCGCGTGAAGGCGCCCTTGTGCTAGTCGAGGTCAAGAGGCATCAAGACCGCTCTGTTGTGGGCCATAGTCTTCCTCGTGAGGATTGGTCAGCTAATCATCACGCCGATGTTTTAGCCAACGAAGCTGCCCACGAAGCCGCGGGGCCTTACAGTTTGGTGGGCCAGGTCCGGGAGGCTGACAAGTTGGCCTGGACAGTTCAAAAAAGTTTGATTTTAGTTGCCTTGGAGGTGGCCCAGAGCGCCAAATACTTTTTCGGGACCACTCTGAAAGGATATGTCCATGCCAGAGCTGTTGCAAAGGCCAAGGCCAAAAGTCAGCAATAGCCTCAGCTTCTTAGACTGTCTCCGCACCGAACTTGTCAAACCCTCAGAGGGTGGAAATGCGCGGCGTGCCTGCGCCAAGCTGGGCAACGGTCCTTGGAGGAGCTCTCGGCCTCATTTTGTCCTGGTCGGCCGCGCCAGATCGACGTTTCGCATCGGGTCGAGAATGTCTGGGGTCTCTGGTTTTGCCGCCTGTGCGGAGCGCAGGGGGTAGAAGAAGTGATGCGTCTGGTCAAACAGGTGCTCCAGGCGTCTCACCAAGGACGGGATAGCCACCCTGCAGTTTATCGACAAAGGAGTTTTGCCCAAAGGGGTAAAGGCTTGGCCCGACCCGCAACCGCACAGCTCAGAAAGGTGAAGAGAACGACCTACACCAAAGGGCTGGAGGAGGAGGTGGTGGAGGAGGAGGAGGAAGGATGAGGATGATGAGGAGGAGGATGAGAATGAGGAGGAGGAGGAGGAGAAGGAGGAGGAGGATAAGGAGAAGAAGGAGGACACGGACGAGGATGAGGAGGAGGAAGAGGAAGAGGATGAGGAGGAGG